CTGTCTGTCTGTCTGTTTCTCTGTCTGTCTGTCTCTCTCCCTGTCTCTCTGTCTGTCTGTCTCTCTGTCTCCCTGTCTGTCTGTCTGTCTGAATCAACAGCACACACTGAAACAAAGATTTGTTCTGTTTGTGTCTCACAGGAGAAACTTTGAGATTTAAAGCATAAAGATTCACAGAACTACTTCAGCTGTTTTCGAAAAATAATTCCTTTAATTTGATATAAAGTGTCCAATGAGCAACAATAAAAAAGGTTCACCAACAGTCAGTTGTCTCAGTGACATGTTTCCTCTAGTAGAAGAAGAAGAAGAAGAAGAAGAAGAAGAAGATCTCCCTAACATCACATGTTCTGTGGAGCTCAGAGTCCCTGATTGTCACCGCGGTGGTTTAATGAAGTGCTGCTGTGACATTCATTAAAGAGGGATTATGTCATGATTATTGCCACTTGCAATACGCATAAATTATCTTTTAAATGAGACCATCAACGGGATGAATGTGAGAGAGGTAAAGGTGAGGAAGAGGAGGAGGAAAAGGAGGAGGCAAACCCATTTTCCTCTCTCTTGTCTGTCTCACCTTAGCCCTGCTTCTCTGCAGTCTTCGTCACCTAATATATCCATCATCTCCTTTCCTTATTTTCCTTCCATTCTCTTCCCTCTTGTTTCTTATTCTCTCTCCAGCTCTTCATCTTTTCCATTTGCTTTTCCTTTCTTTGTTCACCTCTCCCTCCTCCTCCTCCCCCTCGCCTCCTGCCCACTTTCTGTCCTCCTGCCGTCAGATAGCCAGGAAAAGGCCACTCTGTGCTCCAATCACAGAGGAGGTTTGGAACCTTCACCAGTAAATAGGTGAGGAGGAGGAGGAGGAGGTTGAATCAGGGGCTGATGGATGAAATGAATATGAGAGAAACTTCTTTCGTCTCTGTCTCCTCCAGCCTCACTCCTTCCTGTTGTCCTCATTTCATTTGTCCTGCGACGCTCTGAAGCGGAGCAGCTGATGGAGGTTTCATTTGTTTCTCTCTTCGGCTCCATGAGCTCTTTTCTATTTCTCTGTCTCTTGTAAAAGTACTCAAGGACAAGTACAGCTCATCATCACAAACTCTCTCTCACACACACACAGTGCACAACAATGCTGCTTTAATTTCATATCTCTGCATATCGCTCTGTCACACACACACACACACACACACACACACACACACACACACACACGCTACTGCCACTATTCTGTGAGCCAGTAGACTGACGATAGGGATGAAAAGAGATGTTGCCTCCACATCTGACCTCTCGCTTATTGCTTTCTGACCCGTAGAGGGCTGAATGGTACACACACCCACACACACACACACTACTGTGTATGAATGCAAAGATGTGTGTGCATAAGAAGTGTGTTCATATTGGATGATTCTGATGTCACGATTGGGTCTCTTTTCATGTCGTAGAACACAAACTGAAGCTTAGCTGGTGTGTCATTAAACATGAGCGTCTTTATGGTTTTTAAAGTGTAGAGCGGAAAGTCGTTTAAAGTTGTAAAGTACACGAGAGAACTTTCTCAGAGAATTCATGGAAGCAGAAACTTAAACATTCATCAGTGATTGATATCAATTAGTAGACATTACTCTAGGACATGTTGTGTAACGTCTTCATGTCCTTCCTCCTCTCAGTGGTCCTGTAGTGACGCAACCCTGAAGTAGTTGATGAGCGTAGATGAGACACAATTAATGCTCTCACAGAAACTCATATTCATGATTAGTCTTTGTGATGGACTGCAGCACGCAGACGTTTCTCAGAGACACGTGGAAGCTTCGTGATAGGTGACTGAGAAACACTCTCACACACGTGTCCACCCACACGCACGCACGCACACACACACACACACACACACACACAGAAAACACTGCACGTCCAGCACATGCAGTTCTTCCAGCCTTCAAGGAGATCAAGTGTTTGCTCACAGAAACAAGTACACACATAGACATTGCACACACACACACACACACACACACACACACACGTGTCCACACACACACACACACAGCCCATGGAGCATCTGTGACTGCGTGTCAGACACTTAAAGCGACTTGAAGAATGTGTTGGTGGATTCTGGAGGTTTTTCTTTTGACTTTTGAAAAATAAGTGTGAGATGTTTTTTTTCATTTTCTATGACTCAACTGCAGATGAATTGTAAGATGCTGCGTCCTGATAAACATATTAGTGAGTGTGTCTGTGAGCTCAGGGTGTGCAGGAGGCTCACTCATGGAGTGTTTGTTGCTTCTCACTTCTAAAGAGTGAATAAAGTGTGATGCTGGCTGAAAGGAGACGAAAGCACATGAGTGAAGCCTTGAAGTGAGTAGTTCTAATCTCTAAAATGAACTCTGTGAATAACATCATAGATCACTACACAAGGATCTACAGTCTGAAGTATGGATAAATACAACCAGATGTCTTGCTGGTACACAAATATAAATGCTCACATCACATAGCTTAGCCCTTACATGCTGTTCATATGTAACGCCTTCACAGTGTGTCGGGTATTAAGTGTCTAAACTACAGATCTGTTTAGAATGTCTCTTAATAAATGTATGATTAATCCTTAATTACATGTTTCATAGAGCAGGGAGAGTACTTAACTACTACACATTATGTCCTGTTTTACACAAGACATAAAAACATAAAAGCCATAATGACTTAAATATATTTTATAGAATTTGAAAATGTCATGAACATTCTGGAATGGTTGGAATTCATAATATAACCATATTTAATCATTGCAACCATTAAACGCTGTCCTCACTGCTATATCATAAGAAATCATAATTATCAATATTAATTCAACATTTACCACTTAGAACACAAAACATTACATAATACATTGCTTATTATAGCTGTGGTAGGAGACGTTACTTGTGTGGAACTTGCACATGTGTTCACATCTGCAGCAGCTTGTCTCTGCTCTGCAGCACTTCTCTGTTGGAGCAACAGATCCAGGGCCTGTTCATGGTAGCTCAGGTACCTTCAGAATGTTATCAACCCAAACAGCCTCAGTGTACAAGCATGTGTAGCACCTGTACAAAAGTATAACATTTGGGTCAGTTTAGGAAAGCTGTAGAAGTTGTCTTCATACAGTTAAAACCTCTTCATGAATACAGTGGATGGATATTCAGTGGTTGTGGATCTCCAAGGTAACAGAACCAGCTCACCTTCAGTAACTCCAGAAGAACCAGCACAGCAATACAAGAACAAGAACAAGAACAAGAACAACAAATCCTCAATAACTGCAATCAGCCATCAGTGTCCAACAGTTACAATCCAGCATCAGTTCACAGCTTTGATACATAAAGTCATTAAACACCAGAATGCTTTTGAAGATTTTGGATACGAAGATGCATAAAACGTTCATCCTCATTTTGTGTTTTCTGAGTCAATGCATGTTTAAAAAGCCTCCTCTGACATCATGTGTGTTTGTACGTGTGTGATTGTTAGTGCTGCATGTGTGAATATACCTGTGTGTGTGTGTGTGTGTGTGTGTGTCCCCGTCGGTGTCTCAACATGTGTGTTCGTATCACTACAGGAAGTTGGCGAAGAAGCAGAAGGAGACGGCCAGCAGCTCCACTCAGCACAGGGAGATGGGTCCGGTCACCACGGCTGATAAGAGCACAACTAAAGTCAGCACGCTGCACAAAGACGACCCGTTCTCCACCTCCAACCAGGACCTCAACGGATTCAGTAAGTCCTCCAATGTTCACACAAGGTCCACGTCTCTAAATATGGAACCAGGTAGAACGTGGCTCAGGGTTGTAGAGCTGGACTCCTTTTGTCTTCGTCTCTACTAGAAAATACAAAGATGCAATATGTCAGCGCCATTAATCCTTCTGTCAGACTCGTCTGTTCTCACATCAGACGTTCTGTTCAGTAACTCTGCATATGTTCCTCCTTCACTTCTATCAGCAGTGTGAGGAGCTGCTTCACTGCTCTCCTCTTACTCTGTGCTGCTCCCTCAACTTCTTCTGCTCTGTGCTTCTTCACATGCAGACACATCCATGTGTTCCATATTCCACATGTCAAACATGCTCTTTCAAACACACACAGACTAACACACACACCCACTCACACACACACAGACTAACACACACACCCTCTCTCACACACACACACACACACCCTCTCTCACACACACACACACACTCACACACACACACACAGACTAACACACACACCCTCTCACACACACACACAGACTAACACACACACCCTCTCACACACACACACACACACACACACACACACACACACAGACTGATCCAGGCTCAGTCCTAATGAGACAGAAGAATCGCTGACACAGGAAGGACTCAGTAACATGTGACAGACGGACCCTCACAGGCCGAATAACCTTTTTGTGTTATTGCTTCTCTGTCGTCAGGTTTCTTCTCACTTTGCTGTCAAAGCACTTTTCTGTTTTAAAGCTGAGCTCCTTCTGCAGGAACATTAGTATTCAGGGAGGATCCGCATGAGACCAGGAGGACTTAGTCTCTCAGGAGGACACCTAAAGGTTTAGAGAGGGGGAGGAGGGGAGGAGAGGAAAGTGAAGGAAAGGAGAGGAGGAGAGGAGGAAGAAAGAGAGAGGAGTAGATTAAACTCATGTTTTCCTCTGAGGGTAAATCTGACATTTGTACCAGAGAATAAAGGACAAACAGACGGACGAATAAATGATTTGCTATTTAATAAGTTCTGGTTCTGATTCTGATAATGATGATTCTCAGTAAATGATCATGAGTTCTTTTGAAGACGTCTGATGTCGAGCTGAGGATGAGCTCTGTGTCTTCTGTAGGAAAGCTCCCTCTAGTTCATTTAAACCCTCTGAACCAATCAGAGCAGAGAAGATAAACATGAAACTCTAATCTTCATCCTGCTGAAAAAAAACTTATTTCTGATTTCAACAAAGTTATTTATTGACTCCACTGAACGAGTTCACTCTCCAACCCAATGAACAGACGATCAATGCTTTCCATGATCTGAACACGATGAAGCACAGACGTGAATAATCAGGATGGAAACATTCTAGTTGTTTGTGTTGTTCTCTGACATGAAACATTTCTATCTGCTTCAAAATGACGGGACGAATAAAACCTGCTGTTATTGATTATGTTGTTATTGTTGGAAGCTTTATGGAGAGATGATTGAGTTTAAAGTGACATCGTCTCTGATCGGGTTCAGTCCGTTCATACGGTTGTATGTATTGATGAACGTCATATTTGAGTGCTGCTCATTGAGATGGAAACACTTTAACTCAATATGTGAACATTGGTGGTTCCATTAGTGTTATTGGATTGTCCTTGACCAATAAGGACGATTGATCTGTCTTTGTTTATCTTTTTATTGTTTATTGTGTGATGATTCAATGGTTTTTTGTTCTCTTGTTTTTCACCTTTACCGTCTCCTTCTTGTTCTTGTCCTCATCTCATCTCCTTCCTCCTATCTCCTCTCTCTCCTCCTCACCTCCTGCTTCCTCCTCTGGTTTTCTTTTTTCTTCTATTCTCCTTCCTGTTTTTTCACTTTTTCTCTTTATTTATCTCCTGCTCTCCTTCTCCTCTTCTCTCTCTTCCCCACCTCCTGCTTCCTCCTATTTTACATCCTCTCCCCTTCGTCTTCTTGGTTTCGTCCTCTTACTCACCTCCTTTTCTCCTCTCCTCCCTTCTCTCTCCTCCCCAGCTGCTCCCTCTCCTTGCTCCTTCTCTGTGCAAGGAAGCAAGACACTGCAGAGCAAATCCCTGCTGAATTCCTACTACTCAGGTACACACACACACACACACAGACACACAGACACACACACACACACACACAGACACAGACACACACACACACACACAGACACACACACACACAGACACAGACACACACACACACAGACACACACACACACACACACTTTTCCTTTAAATGACAGTGAAGAAAGTGAGAAACTATTTTTGCCCTTTTAGGTCGATCACATGATACTACTCGTACACTACTACTACTAGTATCATCACAGTACTGCTCCGTGTACCAGTACTCACACTACGATGGTTCCTCACAGTTTATCAGGTGTAAGATCTGTGAGAATATATTGTTCATAGAGAGCGCTTATGACTTCAGTGAAATGAAGATGTTTGAACATGTGAGTCATCACTGCTTCTGACTGCTGTCCATCATGTGTTCAGTCTCTAAAGAGCCGGTTCCAGCCACAACCTCCATCGGTGAGTCACAACAGTTCATTCATATCTTTATGTAACAAAACATAATAAACATAACTGTGACCTTCAATCAGAGGATCGGCGGTTCGATCCCCGCCCCCGGCTCTGCTAGTCTCATGTCGATGTGTCCTTGAGCGACACACTTAACCCCAGAATGTCTCCCGTAGCTGAGCCTACGGTGTGTGAATGTGATAGAATCTGACTATATCTCTTAGGATAAAAGCTTCTGCTAAATGACTGTAATGTAACACTCCTGTTTGTGGATTTCAGTGTGTTCCTGCTCGTGTGTGTGTGCATGAGAAACAAGAGCACACAGTTTCACACATATTCTGGCATTTACAATGTACACACACACACACACACACACACACA